AAAGAGAAAGAGAAGGGAAAGAAAGAGAAAGGGAAAAACTAGTCTATCTAGAGGCTCCTCAAAAGGCTACTCTGCAGGTAATATCAAAAGCTGGGTTTTAAAAAAAAAAGAAAACAACACAAAAACAAACAAACAAACAATCTCACCTGTTTTAAATGGTGCAACTCCTCTTCCAAATCCTTAATCTTTTTGTTCTGTTTTGTGTTGGTATTTTCTCTCTCTTTCTCCTTGGCTCTTAATTTCTTAATAATGTTGGAATTGTGCAGCTGCTGTTTGGAAAGCTTTTCTCCTGTGAGGAAAATGAACATAAAGCTGGTGCATATTGCTGGTACTCTATGAACTGTCTCTATTTATACCTCCCCCTGCTCTTCAGTCCCATGAAAATAATAATCAAATATATATCAAAATACTTACTCTTAGATTTTTTCCTGCAAGTTCTTGAGTTTTAAATCTACCTTATCCTGAGATGACCTTTCTGTACTAAGCTATAGTGAGACAGGATAGGCAGTGAAAGGCTTTGAAAGTAAAGCAAATGAGCTCATCATATCAGGAAAAAAATCAAAATGGTCTGTTCATTAAGTAACTGCATTTTACTCTCAAAATTAAAAAGTAGTAAGGGAGGCACTGTAGAAAAGCTTTGAACAATGCTCTAGTTAGATTTCTGCTGAATGGAACATAGAACATCGTGCTGCACGCTGGTTTTATCTCCCAGCATCTTTCAATGCATGCTGCAGGAAGCACCCTTCCAGCTCTCTGTATCTGTCTGATCCCTCCTGTTGCTTTTTACTATTAACTAAATGGTTTCAGTGTTGAGGAACATCTAACATGCTTCAAATAATGGGGTTTTTTTCCCCACATAAAGAAGGCTCATATGTGAAGCCAGTACATTTCAAAGTATTCTACACATTTTTCATATTAATTTTTTTTTAATTCTCACCTTCTTCCATTAATCCTTTGATTTGCTCTTCTTTTTCCTTCAGTAATTCAGCAGTTTCATTAGTATTGAGTCTAGTAGCCAATTCTTCTTTAACAGTCTTTACTTCCTAAATAATAGGATGAAATACTTAAGACCACTTATTAAAATATATTTATGGATAAATCCATAGTAAGTTACACTTTTTCTTCTCCACTTCCTCTCAAAAGGCTTTTCTCTGAAAACAATTTAGGCTGAAGGGAACCTTGGAGATTATCTGATCAAATCAGATTGCTCAGAGCCTTATTCCATCAAGTTTTAAAAACCTCCAAGGATTGAGACTCCATAAAGTATCTGTGCAATTTGTTCCAACCCCTTCTTTCCTTTTGCAATATAGTAAAGTATTTTATATTACTAATATACTTTAAACTTTTGCAATATAGTAAAAACAAACTGTTATATTCACACACAGGTATCAGATAATTTTTCTATTTCAATTTACTACTGTGCCAATACAGTGACACTTACTGTGACAAAACAACTGTGAAAAGTTGGGTATTTTTTTTTTTCCACTTACAGATTTGAGTTTACTTTCTGGAATCTAGCAATAAGCTAGAGAAATGCAATGCTCTGATACCTGGTCAAGAACACTTTAACTCCATAAACTTTGTTGCTGCAGCCTTCTTTGTTCATTTCAAACCAATCTGTCATCAGCCCTTAATTCTCCTATCAGTTAATCCTCTAAAGAAGCCATTCCCATTCTTCCCCACTTCCCTACATGCCCAGGCCACTCTTCTCCCTCACACCAATTTAAATGCATGCATGGGTACAAGGTAAATGAGAGCAGACGTTAAATCTTTATATTTTTCCCCCCAAACCAGACTAACCTTAACTTGAATGAGTTCCCTAACTTGGTTTACAACACGGCTGCAAGATTACACGTGTCAACACAAGTAAATAACAAGCAGCCTCAGAAGCTAGAATCAGCTTTTGCTAGTTACTAATACCACGAGATAGCACCTGTCTCATGCTCTTGCCTAGCTTAATTTTTATGAATTTAACTCAAGAAATTCAATTTTGTTCTAAAATAATAAACAATAATTTCACTAAAAAGCCCAATTACCTTTTTAGCTGCATCTCTCTCTTTGCAGGCTAGCTGGAGCTTCTTTTCGGCATCCGCAATTCGCTGAGCAAACTCCTCTTTAAGAGACGAAAGGCTACTGCTCTCTTCCTTCATTCTAAACATTTCACTACATTTAAAATTAACATTTCAGAACAGTTTCACGGTTATGTGACATTCCAAGCAGTTTGCAACAGGTTGTCTTAAATGCTTTTAAAATGTAAGTGATTTTGCACTTCTTTTTGGTTGGTTTTTGGGTTTTTTTTTAATTTTACAAGTTAATCAGAAGCAAAAAATCCACATCCATATTAGAAGTACTAATCAAAGAGCTTTATTTAGTAATTTACCTGTGAAAACAATGAAATGCTTAATTTACCTTAAATATTTTACCCTTTAATCAAGTTATTTCTGATTAACCATAGTCTGTATCACATACAGAGCAAATGATTAAATGTGTTTTTAAGTTAAGATCAATTTAATCATTAAGTAATTGTCTGTCACATACTGTCTGCAAATTTTTAAACTTCATCAGCAAACTGGTAAATCCAACTTTTCATTTTTTTTCCTTTTAATTTTAACTGAACTAAACACTGAATTCAGTTTTTCCCCTACCATGAGCCCTTCTACCACACTTTCACTGCCTTGATTTTAGTCAGCAAATTACTAAGTGAATCAGGTTCATCCATCTGTATCAGACAACTCAGTCTCTCTTAACAGAAATGGGTTTAAACTGAAAGAGGGGAGGTTTAGATTAGATATTAGGAAGAAGTTCTTCACTGTGAGGGTGGTCAGACACTGGAACAGGTTGCCCAAGGAAGTTGTGGATGCTCCTCCCTGGAAGTGTTCAAGGCCAGGCTGGATGAGGCTTTGAGCAACCTGGTCTAGTGGAAGGTGTCCCTGCTGATGGCAGGGGGTTGGAACTGGATGAGCTTTAAGGTCCCTTCCAACCCAAACCATTGTATGATTCTATGAACAGCTGAATCCAGTCTTATAACCAAGTTCTTTATCAATAACCAAGTCTGACTCTACACATCCGTTTGTCATTCCCACTGCTTACTTACTGAAAACTTTCACCAGCCTCTTCCCAAAAGACATTCTGCCCCCAAGAAATAGTGTGTCTTTAAAAAAATATTACCATCCTAGCACATGCAATCATTACTCCCACCTTTCCCAAACAGTGCACATCCCTTGCAACCTTTGTTCCAGCTATAAAGCTACTTGTTTTACTGTATTGTCTCCTGATTGTATGGCAGTAAATTATAGTTACACCCACTACTGTGTGTATTTTCATACTTACTCTTTTAGGTTATCATAAGCTTCTTCCAGGCGTGCCTTTTCTTTACTAGTACTTAATAACTGTATTTCTCTCTTCTCCAGTTTCTCAGTTAATGAATCAATCATCTGGACAATGTTTTTACAGATAGAGATGAGATGAATGGGACAGTTAAAACACAAGAAGGGCAGCTTCCCCTTTCCCCCCCTCCCCCCAGTTCCCTCCCAACACTATTTAAAGTCGAACTTGTCAATGTTTTTTAGGAAACTGAGGTAAAAGTCAGTGAAAATTACCATGATTCTGCCACATTAATTTAGAATTAAGCAATATCTAAACACAAGACATCTGTTTCCTACAAGTGTAGAAATCCTACTAAGCACAGGTGGCTCAGCCAAGTTCTTCAACAACATCATTAACAGTTACATTTAATTATAAATGACATTTTTAAACAGAGCTGATAGCTAACTATAGCTAATATTAACCATTAATACCCCCAGTAAGGCTCCTTACACCACTCTTTATAGAACCACAGAAAAATTTACATTGGAAAGTTCCTTCTGTGAAATGTTAGCACAAAACAGCAAAACAGCATCAGATGAGGGAAGAAAACTTCCAGGCAGAGTCAAGAGCTCCCAGCTCACAAGAAAATGATGAAGAAAATAATTTCTTAATACCAGATTTTGGAAAGCTGACTACAGAGAAATAACACAAGCAAACATACAAAATACAACTATCCACAAATGAAACAGATGCTATAAATGTAGCTCAATGTGGACAATGACAGACAAAATTTCCTGTGGTCTATTATCATTATTTCCCACAACGTAGAACCATTTAAGTTTGCAAAACTCATAGATAACAGTCCGTGGCTTTGGAGTTCCCTAAGGAATTTACACTGACATGTTGTACAATTTACACCCAAAAATGCTTTTCACAGATTACACTGGGGTTTTATGAACTCCCACAAGCAATCGCTTTGCACTGATTGCCATCAGAAACAGCATCAGTATTGCAGACACATCTCCAGGGCAAGGCCACCTGTGTCACATATGAGGCACACAGACTATGAGCAAAGCAAAATGCAACAAAAAGAGAAAAAAAAAAAAGAGCAAAACATGTCCAAGGAGCTCAGAAATTAAAAACAAGGACAGAGGGACAGGAAGGTGACAAAGGAAATGGAAAAAAGATAGTGCACACAATACACTGGCAGAACTGGACAAAACATACTCCAAAGCTGCAGTTTAGCCTTCCATATATCTGAATACCCTATTTTGTCACATTTCTAGTCACTCTATCTATCTAAACTAGCCATACAAATATATTTTAACCTATTCACTGGCCCTAGCTATGCTTACCTTCTTCATTAAAAAGCCTAGTGTACTTTCTTTGTAAAAGTAAAGATGATTTCTGCTAAAAACAAACATTAATTTATCTAGTAAAAAGGACTTATTTACACCTACTACTGCTGTCCTCAAAGCACATGCAGAATGCACCTGGAATGTAATGAAACTTGGACAGTTTTTAAGTCTAGTGAAAGAAATGCTTACAAAACATTATCTTGACTATTGCTGTAGCTTTATAATTCAAATCAAAATACTTGAAGGAATCTCTTCCACATCTCGCAGGAAAAAAAAAATACACCAAAGAATTAAAACAACACATTTGACCTCTCAAGGCTTCCTGTTTGCTAGCACTACTCAGAATTCACAATGATGATAACCAGGTGGATTAGGTGAAATCCAAAATGGGAAATTTCACCAGTATTACTCCACTGCAGAATATCAAGGACAGTTTTCTACAAAGTAAGACAGTTCAGCATCAATTAATTAATTCAGATAAGGTGGAGATTACACCTATATACAGAGGTGATGGGAGTTTCATTTGTAATTACAGGGTGTGTTTTACAGTTACCTTTTTAAACTCTTGCTTTTCAGTGTCCTCTTCTAACATTTTTTCAACAGCACCCTGCTGAGGCTCAGTCTCCTCTTCCACAATCTGTTCTTCAACAGTTTGCACAGCAGCAACCAGAACATCTGGCTGCTCAGAATTAACAGGGGTCGCGCTCCTCCCACTCTCTTCCATCTCAGCTTCCTCAGCATGTGCAACAGGAGCATCATTCAAGATTTCAGGTTTATTTTTCAGGGCATCAACCATTTCTGTCTTTGGTGCAGAAGGACTGACAGCGACAGACGCTGAAGCAGAAGCCCTGCCTGATAACTCATCATCTGAATTTATTTCACTTACACTTCTACTATCTAAAGACTGTACACTAAATGAATCAATTCTCTCAAAAGCATCAGAGGAGCAGCAGCTCTCAGTCATTTTCTGGAAGTCATCTAAACGGTTATAATCTGCACAGGCAGACGTGGATAAAAGCTGAAATGATGTTTGCATGAGGTGAAGACTGGATTTCGAATCCGCAGCTTCTTGTCTTGAACTTACTGAGCTCTCACTTATGACACTTTCATGGTCCAGAACTTCAATATCACTGGTTGTGGATGTGCCTGAGGAGAATGTGCTAATAGGAGGTGAGGGTGTATTGCTCTGCCTGTCCTCAGTCTTTCTCTCCTTCGTTTCCAAACCCATGTCTTTGGTACCTGTATGAAGAGGCTGTGAAGTGCTATCCAGTGCCCCTCCTGTTCCATCCCCTCCTGCGGTGGGTTTTTCATTAAGAGTATCTTCAGGTACTTCCAAATTTAGAGTGGACACCTTTTTATCAGTAACTTCATTTGTGCTTTCTTCAGGTTTGGCATTAGATTTAAGCACAGAACTCTCTTCTAATTTGTCCTTGGGAATATCGAGGTTTTTCAAGTCCACTAGGACAGCTACAGAGGAATCCTTCACTTCTGCCTCTGTGGTCACTGGTACTTCCAGCTGACTGGGGTGTTGAGAATCCTTTAAAGTGCTTTTCACCTCCTCTTTAGGTCGCTGTGATTTGGCTGGAGGTTTGGACACCACTGGATTTTTCTGTATACTCTGAACATCTGTTGGAGAGAGAAAGGCACTGAAGAAGTTTTCAGATTCATCCACTACTGTCCTCCTCACTGGCTTAGTGATGGCTGTTGGTGATACTGGCTGATTCTGTGGTTCTGTGTTTGAACTTAAACCCCAGGAAGATGTATCCCATCCTCCACTTATGAGAGAATTTGTTCCTAAAACAATAAAAAAAAGAGAGAGATAGGCCAAGAACACGTAAAATGTGTTATTTTTCAAAATTTGTCTTTTTAGATGCAACAGTTCAGAAAAAATGTTTCCAGTATCATATAACTTGAAGTGAGTATTATATGAACACAAACAGCATCATTTTTGTTACTACTTCCTTACAGAGCTCAGAACCAACTTTCAGACAAAACAAAAAATCCTTAAGGGAGACATGAAGTAATTTTAAGACTTAAGGGGGACACAGACACCTCTAGAAAGTAGGATTACTTGAACGGAACCAACTTGCTGTCTCCTGTCAAACAGGAACTTGAGCAAAGGCAGAAAGAACCAACACACAGACTGTTCTGAAGAAGTGTCTGGGAAGGGGAAATGAGCCCATGCAGCATTCTGAAAGCTACAAGGGCAAGTCTGAGGGCTACCTGGGCACTAATTGATTAGTTCTGAAGCTGCCCTAAGACCAAGTTAACAGTTAGTTACTGTCACTGTACTTCTTGCAGGTTTTCCAGGACTTGTCAACAGTACAGACAGTAAGAATTTAATAGTCAAATTCCAGTAGCATTCCAAGTAAGAAAGATAAATCCAAAAATAATATCCAAATTTATTTTGTGCCTACAAACATAAAGTGGATAACATAACTACTTCAGACTGCTTAAAAACAAGCTTGTTTTACCCAGCAGTATCTATTAAAAACTCCAAAGTATATTTAGACTGCTGCTTTCAGAAACTGTTGGTACCTATTGGTCTGAAAATCTGAAATTCAAGTTATTACTGCTTTCATTGCCAAAAATACTACCAACATCTGATCTATTACTACCTTGTTCACAATTCAACAGCTTCAGAAAAAGCTGTGTGAACTGTAACATTCAGAAGTTATTTGACTTCTTTTAAAAACAAATATGCTTTTCCTGAAAAAAACAGATGTAGTCTGATCTTTGCTGCTTTCCTTACGAATTACAGAACTACTATAAATACTAAGATATCAAGTTAAAAAAGAGTTTGGACAAGTTTAAAGTTTCAAGAAACCAAGCAGAGCACAGACTTCTATAAACTATTCCCTAATTTAAGACGACACTGGACTATACAAGTGACTGATATGGCCTTGGTCCCACAGGGACATGCAAAACTGACCCTACGCTCTGCTGAGCAACCAACCTAGAAAACACCTTCAGTTGTTACAGCTTCTGACTTTCAGATTTCTAATTCTGCTGTGGATATATCTGGAAATAACCTCTTCCTACAGTTCTTTTAGATATCGCTGCAATAAGGACACTGATTTCAGATGAATTAAGTTTCCCAGCCTTTTCTTTTTATTGATCCTTATCTTTAAGGTATTATTCATAGGAAAAAAAACTTTCTAACGGGAAAGGTCCTTTTTGCTCTTTCATTTCAAAATAGCAATTTAGGATTGATCATTTTTTCAAGCTCTACCTCAGCAGGAGTACAAAGGAGACACTTCCTCATAACCAAACTGTGACAATTTTTCCACCAACACATTCCTTTCGACAGATGTTGGAGGATTATATACTTAACACACCAGAAAGAGTGGAAACTTCCCTTGGCTTACACAGAGCTGACTTTCAACTTCTGTTCTGCTCTTCCTGTGGCAAAAAGAGAGCGTGCATGCCTCAGCAAGAACATCATTTCCCTCTTCTTATTAACTGAAGAGTTTATATCACCTGTTAGTCCCTCAGCAAAAAAAATAATGCCTTGAGAAACACGGGTATGAAGTGCAGCGCTACCCATGGAACCGCAGCAGAACACTGGTGACAACAGCCAGGTACTGCGGGTGCTTTTCTGTCACCGTGATCCTGCCTCACCTGGAAGGGGAAACGACAGGTACCTGGGGCTGCAGAACGGGCCCTGCACAGGGAGGGCTGGTGAAACCCCCAGTGTAACCCCCACCCGGGTGAAGGGAAGGGGGGAGATGGGGGAGAGGGGCGGAGGAGGAGGAGGAGGAGGGTGAGGGGAAGGCTCCACCCCGGCCATCCCCGGCTGCACGGGCCGGGCGGGAGGTGTGAGGCGAAGCGCCTCAGCCCGCCCCACACGGGGACCGGGGCAGGGCGAGGGGCCGCCCACGCTTACCGTCACCGTAGTCGGGGATGACGGCGTCGGGCCAGGGGCTCTCCTCGGCTTGGATGTCCAGCACCCGGTCGAT